TTTAAACACTGTTGGTGAAGATTTGAACATTTATTTTGTTGAATTGTAAGAATATATTGTGACCTGTTTTGACTAATAAATAATTAATAATCATTAAGAATTATTGCTAACTGATAAAGTTGATAATACAAGTGCTAAAACAAATCAATAAGTAAGCATTCATTAGCAAGGCATTCACAGAGCTCAGGGATTTATATTGTAAAATTTTTGTTTGTTAACACTGCTGGCTGGAGTCCTTGGATATTAAATACAAGAATACCAGGGCTTCCCTGGTGGCGCAGTGCTTGGGAGTCCGCCTGCCGATGCAGGGGACGCGGGTTCGTGCCCCGGTCCGGGGGCGATCCCACGTGCCGCGGAGCGGCTGGGCCCGTGAGCCTTGGCCGCTGGGCCTGCGCGTCCTGCGCGTCCGGAGCCTGTGCTCCGTAGCGGGAGAGGCCACAACGGTGAGAGGCCCACGTACAGCAAAAAAAAAAAAAAAAAAGAATACCAAAACACCTTTTAGTACCTAAAAGAATAGTTATTGAGGATCAAGACTCATTCTAGGCATATTTCAACTCTCTTTGTATTATCTTTTTTGGCACTATAAAAAGCACAAACTATAAAAATAGTAAGATATTTTGAAACAAAAATATACCACTTACTAATAAATAATGTAATGAATACATTTAGCAAGTATCTATTGAGTGCTCATTATATACCATGCACTGTGTAGATACTAACGTCCCAAAGAGTCTCATTCCATGATCTTACAGCCTATTGTCAGAAAAAAAAATCAAGAATCATTCCACAGAATGAGTGTCATCTTAAAGGCATAGGCACATTTTCTAAATTCATGTAGACTAATTTAATTTCTTGAGTAATGTGCAGAACACAGAATTTTTTCAAAATTAGGTTTTATTAATATAGTAACATCAAATTATCAGTCTGGAACACCAATTTTTCAGTTTTGTTTCTTCTCACACATTTAGAAGGCAAGGCCCTCTGGCATATCTTATATCACTACCTAGATTCTGAGTTAAACTGCCTTATTTAAATTTACATATCTGTTTCAGTTTTCTAGTTGTAGATGTCTTCACAAAAAAGCTGAAAGTAGTACAGAAATAAGGCACATACCTCTTGAACAGAGGGCTAAGAAAACGATCTTTGTGTCATTCAGGGAGTTAGAGACCAGATAGTTTTTTGGTTTTTTTTTTGCGGTACTCGGGTCTCTCACTGTTGTGGCCTCTCCCGCTGCGGAGCACAGGCTCCGGATGCGCAGGCCCAGCGGCCGTGGCTCACGGGCCCAGCCGCTCCGCGGCACGTGGGACCTTCCTACCGGGGCACGAACCCGTGTCCCCTGCATCGGCAGGCGGACCCTCAACCACTGCACCACCAGGGAAGCCCGACCAGATCATTTTAAGTGATCAGTGTGACAATGAAATAGTATCTTTGTGCAGTATTGCTAACCCTCAGTGTTTGCTAGCAGGTGTATTAAGTGTTGTGTATTAAGAATTTGAATTGGTTCTTTAAAAACAAGCTATGACTACAATATTAAAAAATCTTTGTAAACCACCGATACTTTTTCTATACTTAGTTCCATTTTGCATATTACCTATAAGTCCTTGTCAATGATACACAGATTTACACGTGGAATTCAACCATTTTACATTTTCTCCGAAATTATTATAACCCTTCATAATTATAATGTTAATAGATATTATAGTTTGTTTATGTACAATTGTTAATATCTTTTTTTAAAAAAAGCAAGAACATAAAATGCTTTTACTAAATAAAACCCAGAAAGGTGTAATATATTTGAATTATGAGCATCAGTGTGATGGTAAATAGTAATAGTCAAGTTATATAAATATTTTAAATACCAATATTATGTAATAACTGGTTTAAATAGTAGCATAGATACTTTAAGAATTATTTTTTCCAGCTTAAAACAACAGAAATATTTATTTAAATTCAGTTTGAAGACTATCTTAAAGTTTAGAAAGTTGAACAGCATATTTCCTTTTAACAGTTAACTTAGATTTACGTAGAAATTTGGAAAAGAATATGATATAAACCTCTCAACTAGCACTCTCTTAAGCACCACCGGAAAAATCATTATCTTTCCCAGTTCTTTCAATTTCTCTCATAAGAAGCATAGAGAGCAGAACTATATATTTTGGTAATTAATTTCCTTAAGATAATGTTAGAAACATCATGTTCTTTAAAATATAAATGAATTTCAAGGTGAGCATGCTAGAGGATAATATTAATGGCGTGTGATTTATTGTGACAAGAGATCTGATCTGAAACACCATTATTCGGAGTACTTAAAAAAATCCATTTGCAAATTCCTGAAACTATGAAAGTGCTATAGCCGAACCTATCTCAATGTTGAAATCTGGAAACCTGTCCTTGTAAGTATGAAACTGCTTGTGCACAAGCTTGGCATGTCTTCCTCATAGAAATTTATTAGAACATTTTCATAATCTGAATATGCTGTATTGCAGTTTAGAGAATTACCTAAATGCTTGTAACTCTGAGTGAAGACAACCTACAAAAGTACAGATTGAAATGTATATGGATAATTAACTTGGTGATGTATATAAATTTAGGGTTGATTGTTATCTTAAAAAACAGCTGGCGATAATTTACTGAGCATCCACTGATACACCTGGCATTCTTTGAACTCACAACAGAAACATGCGACCTGTAACAATCTAGAAGGTGTTTTCTATGTTATTACTGTTCCAAATGAAATATCCCCTTTAAACTATATAAGCAAGATTTACTTGTGACTTAAATTTACAAGTAAGTTTCAATAAGATGTAATTTTACATCTTATAAATTCATTGGGGTATATAAACACATTAGGAAACACATTAGTAGTAAATGGCATCTAACCACATGTTGGGCAGTGAGCAATGTCATAAATTAGTACTGTAATTGAAAATAAAAACTTAAATAGATATAAGTAAATAACAGAAGTCTTATTAAAAAGAATTAAAATTATTCTGGAGAACAGAACTGATTACCTTTTATACTTGAGGGAGGATCATAAATACTGGCATTCTTAAATATAGGCTGTCAAATTTGAGCATCACCTAAACATACTGATACATCCTCCCTCCCCCATGTCTCTCTTTCTCTCTGTTTCTCTGGTTTTCTCCCCTCCCTCCTTCTCTCTTCTCTCCTCCCTCTGCTGAATAAGTTTGGGACAAAAATTTTCCCCCTTAAGCATTTCTTAATTCCTTTAATGGGCTTTTAAACTGTAAAACTCCTGGTGGGGCACACTGCATGCAGCATTTTTCAAATAGCATTTTTTTTTTTGCTAGAAACCTATTTTAATATATGAATATCAACACATGAATGCTTCACAGAATGGTACTGGGGTAAGCATAGGATAGTTGATTCTATAATATGGCTTTATGTGCATTAATAAATATGTTCATTTCCAGAACATTCAAGATGGGTCATCAAGTGCTGAAATATACTACAAAGTGAATATAATTTCATTGTTACATCAATTTTTTTCATAGACTTCATGAAATAAAATTAAATCTTGTAAAATGAAAGTGTCTATTCTAGATATAAAAAAACAGGTGCACAATTTTAATGAAATTACTTTTGACTTTTCATTTTGTAATATACATGGCATAAAATTCAAACAGTACAATAAAAATTCAGTATCCATCCCAAGCACTTGGTTCTCTTTTCCAGAAGAAACCAAAGTTAAAAGATTTTTGTGAATCCTTCTAAAGATATTATGTGCACATACACATATTCATTATACACTTTTTCCATTTTCCTTAAAACAAAAATCATAGATGTCTGAACTATGAAAGAAAGAGCAAACCACAGCATCATGATTTATCATTAAGGCAATACCTAAGGCACATTTTACAAATATGTTTTCATATGTCTTGCTAAAACATTTAAATAGATCAATATAATGAAAAATCAGATAGGGTCTCACTAACCATGAAACTATTTAATATGATGATTCTTGTATAAAGTAGTACACTAAAGTCTACAGTTAAGAAAAATCTAAAACAGATTTAAAAATACATTTCAACAGCATTTATTTATTATGAAACTACATGGAAGAAAACTATGTCAATCTACTAGTGTATGACAAAACTGAAATAAACATAAGAATTTCCAGGAGCAGTTGTCTTATGTGTTCTGTAACGTTTATGGTACAATGTCAATCTAGCCAAATACAGAGACCATATTTACTTTGAACAGTAATATATAAAGCACTTAAATAACTCTATATAAATGCTGATTATGATTTGGTACCTCTGTGAAATGAACAGAGTAGAAATGCATATAACTGAAGCAAAAGATGATTCACTGCTTCTGCCCAATTTTTCCTGGCTAGTGGGGTGGAGATAGCCATATTTCCTTCTAGAAATGGGGAAGATAACAAAGCCAAAGCTTTCTCTACCTCCCTGAGTATCAGAAAAAAGTCAACACCTACATTTTAGAGGAAATAATTTCTGCCTATTTTGGTTTTCAAGCCTTTTTCACTGTGAAGACAAAGTCTTTAAAAGTAGTTTTTGTCAGCACTGATATTTCTCTGGTTTATTTTCCATTTAGCTGAGGCCCATATAGGACTGATAGTACAAAGATTAAAGGTCTTATATGATACCTACGCAATGTACAGTTACTCATCATGATCAAATCAGAGCCTCATGTTTTTCCTTGGGATTTAGGATGATCGCTCCTCATATACTTAGCCATGTAAAGACTTCCAGTATATCTTAATAAGGTACGATTTTCACCTCACACTTGAAATCTTTCTTCTCAGCACATAAGAATGGGCTTAGATATGACCACACTGTATTCCTCATTATAACCTCACTAAAACCTAACAAGAAAAATGAACACTTTTGTCTTAATATTTACACATACACCAAGCCTTATTCAGTCATTATATGTAAAGTGCTTTACACCATATAGTGATCTCTTTTATGACATAGTTCATCAACAGCAACCATAATTAAAATATGTTATCTTACCTACTATTGAATTTTTCTGGGTGTTTTTCTCTCATGATGTGGAATCTGTGAGCAATGGAAGCATCCTAAGAAGAGAAACAGAAACGAAAAATAAAAGTTTATGATCCTATTATCTTGTGGAAATAACGATTAAAAGAGAAAAAATTGAAGACTAATATTTTAAATTAACTTTTCCTAAACAATGTCATTGCAAAGAAGATATTCTGCTATTAGGCAGAAATGTGTAATCCACATAAATTCCGTGCAAGTGTGATTTAGTCACCATTGGTTACTTTTCATATTTACTTCTAGGAATTGATTTCTATTTAATTTTTTTTTTTTGGCAGTACGCGGGCCTCTCACTGCTGTGACCTCTCCCATTGCGGACGCACAGGCCCCGCGGCCGTGGCTCACGGGCCTAGCCGCTCCCCGGCATGTGGGATCTTCCTGGACCAGGGCACGAACCCGTGTCCCCTGCATCGGCAGGCGGACTCTCAACCACTGCGCCACCAGGGAAAGCCCTGATTTCTATTTAATTTATATATCTCCTTTAATAATTGGTTTTGGCCTCATGCTTAAAGTATGTTTAAGATAGTTCATATGAACATAAATGTCAAAAGGTAGTTGAAAATATTGTTACACAAAAACTAGAAGAATGGCTTAAGTGGAGAAATGATCAGGTGGAGAAGCTCCTAGTCCTTTGAGATTAATTATGGGTAAAAGTATCATTTGAGGGTGCATATCTAGTAAAGGTAAGTATAATATGTGGCTTCAAAGTTGGCTAAGAGTGTACTGGATGTGTAATTATTAACTGTTCATTCCACAAGTTACTTTCTGACATATCTTGCTTAATGGAGAAAAACAACAAAGGGAAAAATTTATTTTTGGAGAACTGGGGACAAGTGTAACTGAACTCTGAGACCTCAAATGCACCAGTTCTGCACCCTAATGGATGTTTCTCCCTTTTAGGAAATTCATTCAGAGTTTCTATGATACAGAATCACACAACGTGTGAGATTGGTAGAATACTTTGATTCAGGCTTTTCAAGTACAGACTGTTCTTGCTGACTTTTAATAGTTGGCCCTGTTATTCCAAGCAGGGAGATAATTTCCCATGCTTCATCTACACATGATTAATCACTCCAATGAGAAACTAATATATTTACCAGTAATCTCAAAGGAAATGGGGCTATTTTAGAGATTAACGGTTAATTTCGTTTCATAGTAGAGATGAAAGAAAAAGAAAAACCAAACACAAAGGAAATAAAGAAGTTGTGTATTTGAGAGAATCCTGAAAACACTAATCAAGGATTAAAAGTCTAATGAATGAAATGAAAAGGCTAATGTGCTTACTCATGCATAACAAAGCATGAGGCACAACAAGAGAGGGACCAATGCCCGCTGCAGATGGCAGACCGAGAGCTGCTTTTCCCTGCAAGATAGACCTGATAGAACTCTAGTTTTTTCTGTACAATTTTATCCTCTAAAAATTGTTGAGTAATTGAATTAATCCACGTATAAAGGACACAAAGGTATAGATAGGTGCATACTGAAACAACACTTGTAAAATAAAAAAAGTTATTTAAAAATTCTATGGTTTGATATCCTAAGATATAACTCTGTTATATATGTGTGGTCAATTTCCTGGTTTGCTAAGTAAGAATATCAAGGTGTTCACGTCTATTGGCTCAACAGCTCTAAAACCCAGTCACAGAGTTTCTTCCTTTTTAAAAAATTCTCACTAATAAGTCATAAATATACTTTTTTGAGAATGTGCACTTGTCTTACTGTGGTACAAAATTATAGAAAAAATCTGAGTATGGTATATTATGTGGCATTATCATTAATTTTAAAAATCACTTATTTTGACTTTATCCCTAATCTGGTTCAAAATCAATCTGGAATACCTTATAATTAAATGCATACATCCAACAGACCAGTTAAATAAACAAAAGTAAAGAAATATGAATCAAGTACTAAGAATGAATGATCAATATTAGTTATCCACAGGGAGACTATCATTGAATTTACCTCTGCTTGAATTATTTGTTTCCGTAAGTTATAGCACTGAAACTTTTAAAAGCAGATTGTGTCGGATAATTTGCTTTATAAGCATACACTTTTGCAGTAAACAGATCTCTTCCTTTCCAAAGCAACACAAATAGTACAGAGAGAGGGAGAAAGGAAAAGAGAGGAGGAAGGAGGAAAGAGAGAGTATCAAAAGAAGACCATTTATGTAGACTAGACTATAACTGCCTAAATTCCCAGAAATACAGAACACCAAATGGCCAAAGATAAACTTAACCTTCGCTCCTCTATCTCCAAGACACTCCGGCAAAGAATCATGTAGGAAAGAGAGGGGAAAAATAGAAACTCGTGAGGAACACTGGTATGCCTTTTCCGTGTGTTGAATGGGTCCCACCCACAAAGAGAGCTGGCCTTGCTGACTACAGGATGGATAAGGAACAATGACAGCAGGTGTTCATTTGGATGAAAATTCAGACCAAATTCCCATGGGACCCTGTCCTTTTGGCATAACCCCAAGAGGCTTGAAAGAGAACTGCCAAACCCTGCAAACTTATCCAGCAGCCATATTTCAGGGGCACTAACGGGTCTCTAAAAAGAGACCAAACAAGAAAAAGCTAAAGTAATCTTGGTTTTTTACATAAACTTTGCACTTTCGGTCTCTATGCACTGCGGTTTGTAGGAAACAGAAATTAAATTGGCATCACTTTCATATCCTAGAACGGATAAACTTTGAATTTGGACAGACTTTCACTTCCAAGACTTGTGACTGTGAGCAAATTGCTTATTTACCATGAGTCACAGCTTCCTATCTTTAAAAGAGGATACTGATACCCCTTTATAGTATTGTAGTGAGATTTTCTGAGATTATTCTGTATAGCAATTGCAGTAGTGTTCTGTTATAGCTGGGGTGTTCATATATTCTATATCCATACTAGAATGTTACTTAAAGTAAAAAGAGGGTGCTAAAAAAGAGTTGAATTGCATAAATATGAAAGATGTATTTACTGACTCTCAATTTGGTTTTATTATTTCCTGAATTTATACTTTCGTTTTAATTTAAAAAATAAAATCAGATCTAAGAACTAAAACATATCCATCTTTATTAAAGTAAAAAAAAATAAATCCCATTATGTTCATTTTCAAAGTAGTCTGTGTAGTAATTTGTATGTTACTTTATATATATGCGAATATGTGCGCGCGTGTGTGTGTATACACACACACACACACACACACACACACACACACAGGTATACATATATCAGAGAATCAGCTTCTTAGCCACATCTGCCTTTAATACTCTGCACTGGTATTCTTCTAAAGACTGATTTTTTTCTTTTCCTGTAAGGGCTTATCATTGTTTTTTTTTTTAAAATAAACTTACCCTAAATCCCCAAAATTGCATTTTAAGTTATTAATTTGAAAAACTTCATTATTTTCTGTGGATCATAACATTTTAAATTGAGAAAATAAAAGTGCTAGATACCTATATACAGCGAATTCTACTAAGAGGAGGACATTATCAATACTAATCTTTTTCTTGAAGTGTAAAATATATTTGCCTAAATACGTAATAGGTACTATATTTTTTAATCCATTTAAAGAAACTTTATCTGACAAATATTTTTACAAAACTTGCCAAATAATTTGTATTTCTGGAAACTGTATTATTATTATACCAAATTAAATATCTTCTCAATTCATTCCATTTTAGGATAGAATATAAATCTAGCCAATTACAAGTAAGTATTATCAAGAGTTATTCCAAAATGCAATCACAGAATTTAAAACTGAACCTTGTATGCTAGGTGAATGAATTTTCATTGATTTCTTGAAATAGTTCAGTTCCTCCTTACTTTTGGACGGATAAATCACAACATCTTCCTGTGTGTGAGCTTTTTTTCCTTTAATAATTGCACTTTGCTAAGGAGCTTCAAAAGCTGAAGTTTGTGGTGTTTTATTTGTTGAATATTTTTAAAGATTTCCAACTGAATTTTTGAGGTATTATTTACATACAATAAAGCAATTTTAAGTGTACAATTAAATGTTAGACAGAGGTATCAATAACCACTTTCACAATCATGATATAGAAAATTTCCATCACCCCCAAAAGTTCCCTAAGGCCCTTTGCATTTATATACACACAAACACACACACACGTATATGTATATGTATGCGTGTATGTGTATATATATATATATATATATATATACACACACACACAAACACTCCTCCACCCTTAAAAATCACTGATCTGCTGTCATTATATTTTGCCTTTTCTAATATTTCCTATAAATGGAATTTAAAAGTACTCTCTTATGTCTGGCTTCTTTCACTTACTATAATGCTTTTGAGATTCAGCCATTTGTTCCAGTGTCAGTGGTTTGTCCCTTTTTATTGCTAAGTAGTATTCTATTAAATAAGTATACCACAATCTGTTTATTCATTAGTTGCTGACATTTGGCTTTTATGTATAAAGCTGCTATGAACTTTTCAGCACAATTCTTTTTGTAGACATGTGTGATTATGTCTTCTGGGTAAACACTTAGGAATGAGACCGCTGAGTTATATGGTATGTGTATATTTAACTTTATAAGAAACTGCCACATTATTTTTCAAAGTACTTGTACCATTTTGCATTCCTACTAGTAAAGTATGAGCGTTCCAGTTACTCCACATCTTTACCAACACTCCACATCTACACCAACTCTTGACAGTCTTTTTAATTTTACCATCCTAATAAATATGCAGTGGTATCCTTTCTTGGAACCTTAACCCTTATGAGTCAGCACCATCTGCTTCGGCACAGAGGTCTGCCAACTCTGATGAAACTATACGATATGAAACTTCTGGTACAGACTTAATAAATGTTCCCAGTTCCATCCCAATTGATTCATCTTCACAGCTTTTAGTATATTTTCTCATTTATGCTGTTCAACAATTCCAAAATAGCAATGAGCAGTCTCTGGAAGTCCATTTGTGCATTCAACCCCACACTCACCGCATGCACAACCTCAAGGGTTTCAAAGAATTTTTTTTCTATTAAATTCCTCCAAAAGAT